GCCGCGACCGCGCACGATGCTCATGAGGCAGAACCCCTCTGTGGTTCGAAACTAGTAGAGCTTTTCTCAGTTATTCTGTAGCTATAAACATCAAACACAGTTCCAAAACCCGAGTTGTTACTGAGTATAGGAAACATTTTAAAAATAGAAGAACTCAGTAAATAATACTTTGGCTAATCCAAGAATCTAACCTAAGTAGGATACGTTGCTCAGTAATGGCTCTAGCAATCCCTCGACCAACGATACAATTAAAATGGAAACAAGACCAAAGTGTCAATTTGAATGTAATCAATGAAAATATTGAACTTAATTAACAAGAAGGTCGTGAACTTGACTTGTAACCAGTTTGTTTTTACGGAAACATGATTTGCGTACTTAAATCCGTCATAACTACTTACCGCGTAAATTAAAAGTATTCATTTACTTTTTTGGAAAGCAGTTTTCGAATTAAGTTGGTAGGTAGGTGCTTATCACAAAAAAGAAAATTTGGTACTTACTGTATGTACATACATACGTTGGCAGTGGACAACATATTACGTCAATGTAATTATTAAAATTTAAGATCTTTGATTTGTATCTAGTAAGTACATTTATTTTACGTACAACTTATTTATAAGTTATGATAATAAATGACCAATAAATACCTAATTTGATTTGTTATTATACCTACCAATGCTACACACATATCGAGACAATTGTTAGCTACCACCTGAATCGAAACCTCCATAAAAACGTAAAACATTTATACATAAATTCAACGCGGTAGATGAATTAAAAGTAAGGATAAATCTTATAAGTAACTTAGCTACTTTTACTCGCCTTAGGCTTTTCAATGCAATACCTGCCTGTAACCTGTAAAGGAATATTGTGTGGGCGTTTCTAGAAAAAGTATTACATAATTCGTTAATTTTGGAATGTAGATATATTACCAACATATCTACTTCTAAGTGCTACTAATCTCTGTCTATATGTAACACATACACTGTAGTAGTAACTCAGTAATGCAGCGTGTTGACCTTCACCTCTCAATCATTGTAGACGGTGCCGCGGGCGCACCGTGTGTCACCAACATACAAGACCTAAAGGCGAGACGGCGGTATAAAAACTGTAGCAGGTCATACATTATCACAGTCGTACATTGATTCGCAAATCAATAACAACATACCGAAAAATCTGCAAACATGGTCGCTAAAGTAAGTTGACGGATAAAAATTTGATTTAATCAAAATGAAGATTTTAATTAATCATGGCATAATTACAACTTATTATCTTTTTGCAGTTCGTCATCGTCCTGTCCCTCGCCGTGGCGGCTTACGCCGTGCCCCTTGTCCCCGTCAGCAAGGTGGTGTACGCTGAGCCTGAGGCGCCCGCTCACTACGACTTCTCATACTCCGTGCACGATGACCACAGCGGTGACGTGAAGCAGCAGCAGGAGTCTCGTCAAGGCGACGCCGTGCACGGCTCGTACTCTCTCGTGCAGCCCGACGGTGTGCACCGCATCGTCGAGTACACCGCCGACAAGGAGCACGGATTCAACGCCAACGTGCGTTACGAGGGCACCCCCGTCCACGCCGAACCCGCCAAGATCGCCTACGCCGCCCCTGTAGCCAAGATCGCCTACGCCGCTCCCGTAGCCAAGGTCGCCTATGCCGCTCCCGTTGCCAAAGTAGCGTACGCCCCAGCTGCAGTCTCATACTCCCACGCTCCAGTCTACGCCGCCCCCGTCGCTAAGGTCGCCTACGCCGCCCCTGTCGCCAAGGTTGCCTACGCTGCTCCCGTAGCTCACGTCACCTACTCTTCTCCTGCCATCTCTTACCACCACTAAATTGTTAAATCCTGTTGTTACATAGACTGTTGTATTTATTGAAATGAATAGGCACTAATAAATTGTTCAATTGTATATTCACTTTGTTCATTTATAAATATTGTTATATAAATATTATGTAGGTATATGTCTACATGTTAAACCTGATTTTCAACTGCAAAACATATTCCTTATATCTTTTTAAAATGAAATGCCACAGGCACACCCCAAACTATTGAAACCTGACGATCTCGAGATCTGAAGTTTGACTTGTGGACATTGTAATGGAATTCTTTCTTCAGTTTCGAAAGCTTCCTACTTTATCTCAGTATTTTAGATATGAAGTCATAAACAAACTCTAACTGTTTGAATTTTGCTGAACGGAAACTTTACCTATACACAGATGCCAAAAGCATGATCCTGCGATCACGTAGACATAAATATAGGTATCGTCGTCAAATTAGGTGACTGGGATCGACTGTACTGGAGTATTGGACATACATATTCTGTCAACTTTATATCAATATCGATAGTGGGGGTGCATGGAGCGAGGCGAGGGAGGGCGGAGTCGGACCGCACCTGAATTATTCATAGAGCCGCATAGTGATTTCATCTCATTGAATGGCGCTGCCGGCGGCGCGGCCGTGATTACGACATCGATACCTCCGCTGCCGGCCACCGGCAACTCGTATGTGGACTGCACAATACCTTGTCAACCGCCTATTAATATCGTTCGATATTTCCGAAACTCTCAGTATTATCTACCATTCCAATCAAGGCACAGTAGTATAAAAAAGTTGATTCAGCTGAAGATAATACTGGCTCCGGCTTAGTTCAGCGTCATGTCTTTCAAATGTGTGCCAGTCTTCTCATTTGTGTTCTTCGCCAACTTGTTCTTTTTATTTTATCTTAATGGGTAATGTTAATAGATGTATAGCGGTTATGAAATGGGTACATATTTCAGTATGTGCAATGTCAGCATATGTTATCTAAAGCATCGATACCATAGGTACCTACATTTTAAAATTCTAACTAAAGCAATAAGAAACACCAACTTCCAATGTTTCAAACTTTTATAAAAATATTCATGAACATCAAAGAGGGTTTATTCTTTCGCCGCGACAGGTAAAAATGAAGAGATTGGTTTTTATCTGTGCACGGCGGCAAATTGAATGTAAAGTTGATTTCCCGGCGGGCCGCACCGCATAATTCCCCGCAAATTAAGCCGAAACCAATTGACTTGCTACCAATGTAAATATTTTTGATAAATGCCTCCCCTTTATGTATTTAGCTTGACAACAGCTCAATAATGCGTTGATACTTATAACAATAAGCAAAATTGTTTAATACTCTTTTGTGTTACTGAAAAGAGAACGCTAAAGCTAGAATGGTATTTTTACAGTTAATGATTTTGAATGAGTATTCACGCCTGAAAAGAGGAATACCTCTCGCGCCCTACCTATCCTTTCGCGGGCTTAAAAACGTGATATTTACTATGTTATGACTTTAACAGGTTGACATAGAAAAATCCACTTATTTCAGACCACTGATGTATAGGTAGGCAGACCAGTGTGGCCTGAACCCGTACGGTAGCCCGCAACTATGGGTTCTATAGCAAGCTTTAGAATTATAAGAATTTTAAATTGTGGTTTCCGATCCCGATAGATAAATAAACTACAATGTACACACGTGGTCATGGAATTCCATCCAGCCAAATCAAAAAGTGACATCCATTCAGCGAAGTAGCCAGTCGCCAAATTACGACTCGAATGGGTAATCCCGAAAAGGGCATTTTTGCTGTTCTTACCTAGTTATAATAGTGCAAATCCTAGGCAAAGAACGAGTATAATATGGCGGCGGGCGAAATCCTCTTACCGCCGAAAATTAATCAAGCCGACTGCCGAGCCAGACTCCCCGTCTTAGCGTGGGGACAGCGCACCCCTGCACGCATTCTATAGCATAACCATAGCCATGGGTACTTACCATATCATTTAACTATACTTTTATATTTTAAGGGCGGCAAACGAACAGACGGATCACCCGATGGTAAATAATCCACTACTCTATGGACACCAGAAGATTTACACGTATACGGTGCGGGATTGTATTGTTTCGGTAGTTATATGATATCTACTGTAGATCCTGGCTTATAGTCGCATTGGTTTTGGAATGTTGAGGCGGGATTGTCTATAAAAAATGTGTTGATTTGCTGTGGGCGTGTCGAAGTATACAGGTTGGTGCTGAAAATCAGCGCTGTGGACTCGAGCCTTCGTGCCCGGCCCACAGCATTAGGCTGAGCACCGGCCTTTTGCACTGCGAAGCACCATGAACTTATTATTGTGTGTTCTTGTATTGTTCTCTGTGTGTGTCTTGGCGTAATAAACGGTTTTACTTTCTTTTTAAGTATGGCACACGAAGCCATATATAATTTGAATAGTTATCTGCATATAACGCGAAAACTTCCCTATAAAATATATTTTCAATATGCTTTATTTTTAGGTGACCACTAAATACCGCAGCTTTGATATGTGTTTGCACGTGTGAGAAATGTGGTAAATCCCATTCTATTACGTTTACGCACACAAGTACATTGATTAAAAGAATTCAAGTCGATGTTTTAGTGTTAGTACGTATTTAGTAGAATGGATTGAAAAGGAAAACTACAAATACATCGAAATAAATGTATTTTTTTAAAATACTTGCTAACATACATAATTACAGTAAGTTTTTACTTGAAAAAAAAACAAGAGGAATAGTAAAAAGATACAATATTATTGCCTATTATATTTTACACTTAGAGGCAGCTAATTACATTATCGAAATGTTGATTATATCTATAGACATTAATTTTATAAGGAACAAACAAGATTCTACACTTTTTATGTTAAAATAGAACCGTAATAAAATCAAACAAAAAAATAAATAAAATACAAGTATTAATTACCTAATTAGGTAATACAAAAATGACATTACAATAATAAATACATTGGATAGGTACCAGCTTTCTGCCGCAGTTTCACCTGCGTGGAATTCGATTCTCTTGAGTCAATCCCTATCTTGTAGGAATATAGGGATAAAAAATATCCTAATTCACTCGCTGAAAGGAAAGCCAGCCTTAGTGCAGCAGTTTTGTAGCCTATCCAATACAAACAAACAATCCTTTTTACAATATAGAGAGAATAATTTATAGATTAAATTATTTTACGAGTGTAGCCTCTTTTTTCTCAGTCTTTGGCGGCAATGGCGGGCATTCGTAGATGTTGATGCAAGTGTCTTTGGACACAGATACCAGCCTCTTGTTGTTGCTGTTGAAGTTTACACCCCAAACCTGTGGGCAAATTGTTTATTTCATCTATGCGGATAACATTTTAAATGTATTGAAGATCAAGGAAAACGCCGTTGGTTACACATTTGTTCGAACTACCTATGTATTGTATCATAATGTATCATGTAATGTGTCACTGTTTGTTTTCCCAAATAAATAAAATAAAAGTGCATTTTGGCGCTTAGTGAGAATATTGTTATGGCTCCTAGATACTATTGTAAATTGTAAATATATATATATACTACATAACTATATACTATAGTTATATAGTTACGTATTCTTCAATATATAATTAGTTATGTTGTAGTATAGATATATTGTGTATATTGTCGAATTATGTATGTGTTCTTTCAAATAGTTAAACTCAACGCATGTTCTTGCACCCGCTGATTGCTGATTACTTTCTCTGCATCACCCAAGGGTCAGACTGGTAGGAAATGGCTGCGGCATTAAGTCCACCTATGTGCTTGTTTGTGTGCATAAAGCTTTTAAAATAAATCTATATATATAAAAGAAAGTCGTGTTAGTTACACTATTTATAACTCAAGAACGACTAAATCGATTTGGATGATAATTGGCGGGGTGGTAGCTTAGAACCAGGTGACGGACATAGGATACTTATTATCAAATTTTTTTTTTACTTTTACCGAAAATCACGAACGGGTACGGGGGGGAAATGGGATTGCGCGTACGAAGTCGCGGGCAGAAGCTAGTATATAAATATTTGGTAGCCGGTGGCCGGTGTTTTCCGAAAATTAGATAGCGCATCAAAGCTCATCCGAAGCCGGCTTTACCGCAGCTTGTCCGGCGGCATGAGCCTTTAATTCATCAAGTACATAAACAACTACATTGAACTATAAAGAAACGCAAAAAGTTTGCTCACCATATCCGTATGTTCTTGGAACGTGTTGAGTACTATCAGTCCCTCTGTGAGTACGACCCGGACGGTGCCGTCGGCGGCCGCCGTCGCAATGCGCGTGCCGTCGCCCGAGAAACATATGCCGACGGCCCAGCACTTGAGATTCAATGAGTATTGGAGACCAGCACTAGCTCTGTGTGGGAAAATAACAGTTAATGTGAATGGTTTTAAAGGAGTGTTAGAGTATACAAGCCAAACTTGGTTGGTACCCATACCCAGTAAAAATGTGACTAAAAAAGATTATAGATATTTATGTTACAACTCTTGTGAGACATACTAAATGAATTATAATGTTTTTGAGCTTGCTCCGATAATTATTTGACGAAGAACTCGACTGGTTTCAAGCCATACTACAGGCTACTACTATAGCAGCGCTACAGTCGCCGCGTCGTGTGTCGCAGAACGCTCTAATAATATGGTGACTCGTCAAATAATTACGCGAGTAAGCCGGAAAACATGATAATTAAGAAAGATTGTGAATATCTCTCGAAGTCCAATTATAACTCGTTGGCCGAGTGGTCGCAAATGCGACTGCCGGGCAAGGGGTCTCAGGGTCGATTCCCGGGTTGGTCAAATTATTACTGTGTTTTAAAAAAATCTCAGTAGTAGCACGGAGTCATATATTGTGCCCGGTATATGGCAATAGGCTCACCCCCTATTACAAGGGACTCATAACATAAATACTAATAAGTGAGTACGTTACATTGTACAGTGGCATTAAGTGCCTTAATGTGCCCCTCTGCATACCCCTTCGGGAATAAAAGGCGTGATGTTATGTTATGGTGTACAATTATATAAAAACAAAATGTAGATTAGATTTATTTTAATTGAATTCTAATTCGTGAACGTGATCTAGAATATTAGAGTTAGACTATTTTGTTTTGATGATCAACGCTACGGCATAGTCTTCGCGTCGTAAGCATCGACTAGCGACTACACGTGTCACAGATCCTGGCAACATTATCTGATAAACCTGTGATATGCTAAAGATGGAACTTATGTCAACCATCTATGAAGACGAGGCCCATAGTCTAACAACGAAGTTTCCCGGGCTTTTTACTGTGACGGTTACATTTTTACTTTTGTACAAAAATTAAATACTACTAACGCCATCTATTGATATGAGTGTAAACTGTTATGTAACGTTTACTTTTCCATTATTTTTTTTATATGATTACTCAAATAGATGGTAATTACGTAACACATAAAAAGATGGCGCCAAATTTTAAATCTTTATTGTTAAATCATTACATGCGTGGAAAATACCTGACTGTTTTATTTTAGTTTAAAATCATCTAAAAGAATTTTCTTACAAAATTTGACGCAGTAGATATAATTTATAGAATTTGTTAGTAGCAAACGTCCTAAAAAATCACGCCGCACCCCTTGCTAATTAAACATGTATCGAAAACAGTTTAAAAACAGGTACTCACACATCATACAGCCTGACGAAGCCGTCGTTGGAGACCGTGGCGAGGCGCTTGTTGCACGGAGAGAAGGCTAGGTTCCGTATAGGCTTCGAGTGCGCCTGAACCGTATGTACCACCTTGGCTTGTGCCGCGTCCAATATGCATAGAACACCGTCTTCCGCGCCCGTTGCTATGTATTTGGAATTTCCACTCTGATAAAAGAAATAAATTCTTAAGATAATTTAATGTCGTGGTGGCCCGGAGGTTATTTTTTAAGGGGGGAAAATCATCAAATGACTGCTCCCGCCTGGGTGAGGCGGAAGGGAGTGTCAGACTCTTACTGACTAAAAACCACCCCGTTCCTTCTCCTGCACGTCGAGCCGGAGCCCCGGTTACGGTTTAAGACGTGCGAAACCTACCAACGGCAAGTACCAATGTGACTTTTTCCGAGTTACATGTACTTTCTAAGACCTAGACACCACTGATAAACGGTGAAGGAAAACATCTTGAGGAAACCCGAGCTGCTAATTTCTTATTTTAAGTTTGTAATCGCCAACCCGCAGCAAGCGTGGTGATTAATGTTCAAACCTTCTCCGTGTGAGAAGAGGCTTTGCTCAGCAGTGACTTATGTTGATGAAAAGAAATAATCGGTGTTTATAATTATCTGTAGTCTCTATAGAGCTTTAATTAGGGGCATAGGTCCATAGAATCTTTAACTTAATTGGCGAAAATTGGGTCATATTATAAACTGGCTACTCCCGCGCTTTTCATCCGTTTTGCTCGGTTCCTTTAGCTCGTAGCCTGAAGTTTTATAGCCTATAGCCTTCCTCGATAAACGGACTATCTAACACAAATATATTTATTCAAATCGGGCCACTAATTCCAGTGATTAGCGCATTCAAGTACACAAACAAAACTGATCAGCTTTGTATAAAAAATAGTATAAGATAGATATCCCTCCTCTCTTTATAATCTCTACCCATCTTTGTGAAAAGGGCTTCTTGTTTAATAATAATTATTATGTTAAACTAGAAACCCCAATTAACACATTACGCAAATTGAAATAAATTAAAAAAACAACAAAGTAATATTTATATCTTAATATGTTTTGTTTTTATATTTCGTAGCGCGGAAAGTATGTGAGACCATCGAGATAAGTGTCGTCCGAATTTGAACAGAGGCGGTGTACATTTTCGTAATACCCCGCCGCAACAGGCAAAAGCCTGGAAGCAGTGTGAAGTCTACGTCAGCCTACAATGTTGTGGGTCTATAGTGTGAAACTATGAGCGCAGTATGTAACATTATTTTTGCGCCGACCCGGGATTCGAACCCAACATCGATGCGGCCATAAATAGAAGAAAGTTCGCGTGATTCCCGGCAGATGGCGCACTGGACGCGCAGACTCCAGAACCAGTAGCAGCGCGACATTCGCCGCGTCGTGTCGCAGAATGTTGCTCATAAATGAGCCTTACGAATGGGTTGAAACTAGTTGAGTTCCACGTCAAACAGGTACATGAGTAAGCCGGTAAAAATAATTATTATTTCACATATTCATTCTTAAGATACTCATACTCACACAGGCAACACTCAATATGAATTTTCCTCTAGTATCCAGTACTTTATCTAAGGTTCCACTCTTCACTCCATATATATGAACCTTGCCAGTATGTCCACCTGTGCATAGATGTTCTCCATCTCCTGAAAATGCCATCTTCCAGACATCGCTAGCTCCTGTCGGTATCTCAGTCAACATCTTCCCTGAACCTAAGTCCCAAAATATTAGGCTCGAGTCCAGTGATGAACTTGCTATTACTATGAGAAAGGAAAAAGAAACTTGATTTACTTGTGTTTTAAGTGCATTTTGCAATGACAGCATAATTCTAAAAAAGCTAAATTACTTTAAATAAAAATGTTTGTCGGGATTACTTTCATTTAAAGTATTATTTCTTTTCACTAATTACAATAGTGTATTCTTTACAATTTGTTCAGCAATGAATGTCTGGCTGGTGATCATGATTATTCATTACAATTGATTCATTGAATGAAATGGGAATAAAAATTACATATTATATTGCCTGCGACTTCGTCTTTGTAGAATATGAATTTTAGAATATAACTTTTGTGAGATAAGCCGGTACAAACATACAGACACAAAATTGTAAAAATGTTATTTTGGTATGTGCATAGTATGTATATTCATTTGTATGTAGTAAAAACGGTTATTTTAATATTATGGTTATTTAAATTTTTCTGTAGATACAAATATTATGAGACATACTTGGTGCAGTCGGACTAACAGCTACTGCCACCACTGCCATCCTATGGCCTTTTAGTGTGTAAACTAGTTGCAACTTGTCATTTTGTAGCGTCCACACTTTCACTAAGCAATCCAGCCCTCCAGTCACTATGAAATCCTTTGAAGTAACCCTAAAATTAAAAACAAAATCAAATATTTTGTCAAGGCCAGAAATCAGAATTCAGTATTATAGTATAATAACTAAAAAAATTATTAATTCATTATGGTTATCTTATTTTTATCTTTTTTTAAAACAGTAAACAATGTGAGCGACGGCGGCGCCGCGAACCGGTAGGTGCTGTCATATAAGAAAGATCATAGGTAAATGGGAATCCTATACGCCGATCTTATTGGAAAGATTCGAAAATGGCCGGGTGCAGAGCACTCCAAACTTGGTGCATTATAGAATGTGCAAGGATCAGTGATGCTGACGTTAACCTACCCCAAACGCACTGGCTACCTACCCCAGCCCCTGTGCACAAACGCGGGTTTTTTTTTATGTAAAATAGTACTTACGCGGAATCTCCCGAAAAGTTTATTTTAGCCCATGTACAGCAATAAATCGGGTCATCGTGGGCATTTTCTTTTTTCAACAATATAGAGTACTGAAAACCAATACACAACTCTTACTTTTGATTCTTTTTAGATAACATATCGGAAAAATAGTCGCACAAACAAATCTCAGATAACCTATTGACTGAAGTACTTACTATTGTATTTACTGGCATATTTGTAGTAGTAGATAAAGATCAATTTATTGAATGGCTGTAACTAGTGTAAATAATATTTTCAAGGAATATCAGTATAAATATGTTTCAAACATTCAGGAATCAAAATCCGTTTGGATTATATTGACATTGATTGATCATAACTAGTAATGTTGTAAACAATACTATAGAAAGAGATAAAGTATACACTTCGATGCAACAAAGATAGGGACAAACTATAAATGTTTATGCAAAATATAAAGAATTATTTCGCTACGTAATCTGGAACGCAGGCAAATCGATGATTGTCTATGATCGACAAATTTTTCGTTTAGAAATATTTTTTTTAATTCGTTCAGTAATAACTTCCCATCACCTGAGACCGCTTTGTTCAACGTCCTTGTTGGCAACATAATGAGAATATTCAAAACTAGAACTACTAAAACTATCATGAATGTAGCAGATCCATTGAAACTTGGCTCATTTTTTTGTACGATGTTATGTATGTATACCTTATTAGGTATCCTGCCTTTCTACTTTTTTACACATTTCCTACTTATTTTACTTATAGTACTAGTTTTTTAATATTATAGTAGCGTCAAAATATCAGCCAATGAAAACATTTGCTAAGAAAATAGTGTACGATGGCCAGCAGGTCAACCTATCCATTTCTGTCAAATTTCTTTAAAACATATTCGACTTTATAGTATGGATAGGGTTGAAAATGCCAAATTATACTAGGTCGATCTACTGTCCACCGTACGCTATTCTACGGGACCCCGGGCGAAGCCGGTGGTAGAAGTTATTATGGATTATAGCTTTTATGTATGTTTGATTTGTAAGTCACCCATACATAGACATAATAAAAGACATTATTTTAAAAGATATGGTATATTAAACGAGGAATATTATACATTATAAATTTATAATGGACAGTCATAAATATTTAAACTTTTGTCTTCCGATACAGACATAATTTTATTACTTTCTGCATTAAACTTTACTCCCCAGACCTGGAAATAGATAAAGAAATACTATTAATATAAAATCATTAATAATGAGCAGATATAAATGGGATCTACAGTATTTTGCCCGCCAAATGGAACTATAGTCAGAATTTTAATTAGATTCCAGATTTGACAATAGCTACTGTCATTTTGTGAAATAATGATACCACATATAATAATGTAGTGATGCACACAAAAATCGATAAACAATCAGTGTGTGTGTTTTATAATAAATGTTATAGAAAGTGACAGGATAGCGATAGCGATGACGGCGACAATTTATAAAATAACTTATTACCATAATACATATATCTGTTTTATTTGTCATGTTCCTTCATAATAACATTTTTTTATTTATTTCACACACAATTATAAAAGAAAAGTCTCAAATCGTTAATTAATCGTTAAAACTAAATTATCGGTTCAGAAATATTTAATTTCCTGATATACTTAGTTTACGAGATTAAAATAATAAACGAGAAGAATCGATCCAGAAATATTGCATTTCCATATCGAATAATTTCGCAACGTCGCTATTTAGTACGTGTCATAACGTTGCAACACTGAAATTGTCAAATCTGGAATCGAATTAAAATTCCGAGTATAGTGTAAATCTTCGTCCAACAGGGAATGAGCTAGTGTTACGCTAGTGTTACGCTAGAATGTTCAATATTTTGTCAGCTGCCGTGATGGGACAAAAAATCTCTATTTACATTTGCGCCATCTAGTGAGGAACGGTAGAAACGGTAGCCGGTGTATGTAATGAATTTTCTTTAACATGTTAAATACCTAAATTACTTAAAAATATACTGAGAAAAGATATACTAATTTCTATTATATTCACGTGAGTAACCCACGATTTTAGTTAATTTAGTATGTCTCACGATAGTTATTATAAAAACATGTTACATACCTGGTCACTGTGTTCCTTAAATACATGTTGACATTGCATGCTATCTAAATCCCAAACTCTCACTGTTCTGTCTGCACTCCCAGAAGCAAACCGCTTGCCATCAGGTGAGAATGCGACTGACAATACCCATGACGCATGCCCTGATAAGGTACCAGCTAAGTTTGCATGAACACTGAAATAAAGATATTATAGTAATTATGATGCATAAAAGTAAGTTCACACCCGAATACTGAAAGGCTACTCAATTTTAAATTGTACTTAAATATCGTGCCGTCTCTGTCTTTACAAAGAATGTGTGGTGACAGAACTATATTTGAGCGTGACTTAAACTTGATTAGCATTTGAGTATGTCGACATAAGTATTATAAAATGCATAACCCAATAAACTGGAGACTGATACACATTTGTTCCCATATAAAATGATGATATTGTTCTACTCGATGGTACTGGTCACTATGTCGTTACTGTGTCATCCGATATGAACAAACCACATAGGGGTTTTTTTTGATGATACATACTAAACTCTTTGTAAAGTGTATTTTGTTTTATCCTATAGTCATACTTACACATCATAAAGTTTCATGTGTCCATCATCAGATGCAGTAAGCAGTAATTGTGAATCTGGTGAGAAACATAAACTCCTGATTGGCATAGCATGGCCTTCTAATGTGTGGACTAATTTTCCTTGAGCAACATCAAATATATTGATGATACCGTCTAGAGCTCCGCTTGCTATGTATTTACCATCTGGGCTCTGGAAATACAAAAATACTTTTTACTTAAACATATTTATTGGAATAGATTTTTTTTGTAATGAATGTGTGAAAATGTGAGCAAATAGCTTCACTTTTAATTTTCTTTTTGTTGACGTTCAAAAGTGCCATTCTGGCCTAATTGAAATAAATGATTTTGACTTTGGCTTTGAAAACTTTTGCTAACAACTGAAAATTGACTGCAGGTTAAGGTAAAATGTTTATGGTTTTCTGTTTGTGACATTCAAAATGTTAACTGGACTAATATTATATTTATGGATTATGCTGACGTCAGCTATCCGGATCTCACCGAAGTGCAGTTGGACAAACTTGAGCGACTCCAAAATTTCAGTATAAGGTTTATATTTGGTTTACGCAAATATGACCACATTTCCGAATATCGTGCTAAGCTTAAGTGGCTGCCGATCCGCCTTCGCCGGGATACTCATATCTTATCTTTACTCTACAGTACGCTGTTCAATCCTACTACCCCTCATTATCTCAAAGAACGTTTCCAGTTCTTCCATGACACACATTCTAGACCAGTACGGTCATCGGAGGACATGAAGCTTGAAATGCCCCAGCATGCGAGCAGATCATTTGACAGATCTTTTACAGTTCGAGCTGTTCGACTGTGGAATGCTCTGCCACTTTCTATAAGACAAGCAGAGTCACTTGTTGCATTCAAAGCACTCGTGAAAAAGCATTATCTCTCCACGTTGTAATTTACCATTACTATTTCTTTTCTCTCTTTGTTTTTTCTTTACTGTTGTCTATTCATTGTTCATACTATATTTTATTTATGTATTTATGCATGTATATATATAGTTTTAGGTATATATTATATATGTTGTATGTAAATATATATTATTTTATTTAGAGAATATATATTTTACTTGTATATATAATTTACTAGCGACCCGCCCCGGCTTCGCACGGGTGCAATATGTATATACATACAAACCTTCCTTAAGAATCACTCTATCTATTAAAAAAAACCGCATCAAAATCCGTTGCGTAGTTTTAAAGATCTAAGCATACATACGGACATACAGCGAAAGCGACTTTGTTTTATACTATGTATTGATAAGTAGATACCTGAGTACACCTAGAACAACCTCCACTTTCATACAATAGTACTCCATTCACCCAAAGGTTGCCTGGTAGAGATCGCTTTTAGTGATAAGGCCGCCTTTGTACCCTACTATTCTTTATTATAACATTACATGTATATTCTATTAATTTAAGGTGTACAATAAAGATTTATTATTAATATTTACAAATATAAAAGGATAAACCTTACATAAGCAACACTTAATGTGAATTTCCCTCTGGTATCTAGTGTCTGCTCCTGTTTTCCACTCTCTACTCCAAATATGAGGATCTTGCCAGCATTGCTTCCAGAGATTACATGTTTTCCATCAGGTGAGAAGTCCAAGGTCCATACATCTGTTGGACCTGTTTCCATAGTCTTTATTTTCTCACCAGTTGTTAAATCCCAAAGGATTAAGGACGAGTCTTGTGAACTACTTGCTAAAGCTGGAATGTAAGAAAGGAGTTTTTAATAAAAAGTTTTTATTTACACTCAACTTTAATTTTTCATCTCCATATGAAATGTAAAACTTTATCGAAGAATGAGTAATTGGGTAGTTTCCTGGGTCAAAAATAAATTATTTTAAATTTTCAGTCCAATTAAATATTGAAAAATAGTTACACTTTCATTCATTGATTTGACGATGTACTCAATTTTTTATTTATTCTAGCATTTTTAGATATAAGTGTGCTATTTGGTTGATGACCTACCTTCTCCGTGTGAGAAGAGGCTTTGCTCAGCAGTGGGCATTTATAGGCTGTTGATGATGATGTGCTATTTGACGCGAAAATATGATGACGTCATAAGATAGTATTTCGTACAAAATTCTTAAAACAGTATCGGAATTTGGATTAACTACCCTATTGGATTTTAGAAGTTACTGAGAGAGATGGAAATGAGACTTAATTAAAAGGCTAGATGTTAGCCATGACTGCCTCGTTGGTTTCGTGGTTGCAAATGCAACGTAACCTGGCAAGGGGTCTTGGGTCCGATTCCCAGGTCACGCAAAATATTACTGGGTTTAAAAAAACTCAATAGTAGCAATATGGCAATAAGCTTACCCCCTATTACATGGGACTCATAACGTAAATAGTGAAAAGTGGGTGTTACATTGTAAGTACAGTCAGTGCAATTAAGTGCCGTAATGTGCACCTCTGCCTACCCCATCAGGGATAAAAGGTGTAATGTTATGTATGTTAGTAATATAATATGATTTGATTTAAACTGTCAAACACCGCGAGGACACCGGTGACCGCAACCTATTGTTCTTTAATTGTGTCTATAATGACGGTACTCAAAGGGTTAATGCGAAACATGTGTGTATGTATTGTATACTTTGACTTACTTTTCCCATCAGGACTGACGGCAACAGATATGACTCCCAGTGAGTGACCCTCCAACTGATGTTTTTCTTCCAGTTTCCCATTCTCAAGCTGCCACACTTTAATCAAGTCATCCAACCCTCCAGTTATCAAGTAGTTTTCGGAATTAGGTTCATTGTTTGTATCTCTGAAAATTTATTAGTCATTGAATATTTATTTGTTCTAGAAAACTTGATCTGAGTGTAACAAAGGGTGCGCAAGAGATTTGGGCTCATTTCCAGGCGAACCTGAAGCTCTAGAAAAAAGGGGCCCAAATGATTTTCACCTTATTTTTAGGTTTTTTTCTTAAACTGTCAAACACCAAGCGGTCACCGGTGACCGCGACCTATTGTTCTTTAATTGTGTCTATAAAACCGGTACTCGACGAGTTAAAGGGGGAAAATCATCGAATGACTGCTCCCGCCTGGGTAAGCCAGGAGGGAGTGTCAGACTCTTACTGACTAAAAATCACCCCGTTCCTTGTCCTCCACGTCGAGCCGGAGGCCCAGTTACCCGTTAGGTTCTCCGCGACCGTTAGGTTCTCCGCGACTGTTTTTTGTGTATACTAAGCCATAGAAATGAGAAACTAGCCATTTATAAGAATTTTTTATTTTATAAATTTTAAAGACGAAGAAGCATCTTAAGAAGGATTTTTTTCAGTTAAAAGAAAGGGTAGGTCTTCACGGTAGTAGTGCCAAGCATGAAATATATTACTCATGCAGCTAAACACCTACCCATGATAAGTGATGGTAATGTTGTAATGCTAGTAGATGTCGTCACTGTCATTATAGAACTATTCAAATGCATGCATTGCAAAGTAAGTTTATGCCTCACAAGACACCGTAATAGGGTAGATTCCAGGGTATCAAAATTAAAAATCTAATTAGTCCATCAGTTAGGTAATGAAAAAATATTAGACACGTATTTTTTTACATAACATAACATCACGCCTTTTATCCCCGAAGGGGTAGGCAGAGGTGCACATTATGCCACTGTACAATGTAACACCCACTTTTCACTATTTATGTTACGTATTTTTTTATTTTCTCGTATTAAGTTGCAATTCTTAGATAAAGTGGCGCTAAGTTTAGGAGTGGGAGGTCGTTACGTAATAACGTGCTACAAAATGTGGCACGCTGTGACGTCACACGATATTTCAAATTAATATATTGTCGACAGTATTTAATTTTTTGAGAAAAGAAAAAATAGGTATGTGTCTAAAATTTTATATAAATGTAACAGACGGACATTAAAATAAAATTTTGGAAACTTTATTTTAATAAAAAAGAATAGGGTATTGTTTTTTTGATGTCCATCAAACAGGTTCAGGTAATTACCATTATTTTCTTATTTTTTCTGAACAAAGTTACATTGGGTGTGTGTATTTTTTTTGTTATTAGAGAATAATGTTTATTTTTTGAGTGTTATTAGTTGGTTGTTGTGGAGGTAGGAGGTAGTACTGGAATTAAATTATTATGGAGCAAATTTTAACTAGGTAGGTAGGTAGGCAGTCTAAACTAAGTTTGGAAAATAAAGTCCTTATCTACAAGTGTATCCTAAAACCGATTTGGACATACGGTGTACAGCTCTGGGGCGATCCCCAGAGCTGTATTGAGATCCTCCAGAGTACCAAAACAAAGTGCTAAAGGTACTGATTAATGCACCATGGTTCACATGAAACACGAAGGTGCACAAATATCTGCAGATTCGGACAGTCAAAGAAGAAAATAAAGAGTTCATCTGTGTCTTACAAACTACGCCTTGAGCGACACATTAACCATCTAGCTTCACAGCTCATAAACTCAGACAACTGCTTATCTCGACTGAAAAGAAAGCAACTAGCGTCTATATAAATAAACCCATTAAGAGGGAAAAAGAAATGGAGTTGGCATGTCACAGGATGTGCAACTCTCCAAAGTCCCAATAGCACGACATTCCATCTGATAAAAGCCGTATCGGCTAATTGTAAGAAGAATAATAAATAATTAATAAGAAAAAAAAAAGAAATGATTTACTAATGTTTTTCTTTTTATCCATAAAAGTATGTAACACCCAATGTACATTTAAATAAACAAAATAAATAACCGTAATGTAGTACACAACGCCTAACGTTCATTTGAATGAATATAAATCGCATCAATTCTTAATCTGTCAAACACCGAGCGGTCACCGGTGACCGCGACTTGTGTTCTTTAATTGTGTCTATAAAACTGGTACTCGACGAGTTAATCTTCTTCATAACGCCAGAGTATTACCTTTTGGTTAAAAAATCCTATGCATTTATTTACTCAGAAATAAGTGCAAACTTGCTTGGGTATTAACCATATGCATTATTCCATATTGTCTACATTAAAATGAACACTGGGCAAATGCCCAAGCCAATAAAAAATATTTTTTTTATTCTTGTGCATTACAATAGTTACAAGGTTAAATAAAAGGCTTTATAACTTTGACTTTTCATTGTTGATAAAAACTTTTTAGCCTAGTATCTTGCTCCTTGCGTAACCCTTTGCTACAATCCAACCAAAACCTATATTGGATACCAAAATAAAACTGTAGGTTAGGTGTACTTACTGTGTGGGGTCAACATCATCGTTCTCAGTTTCTTTAGGTTTCTCTTTCTCTATATTACTCCAGCCGCAACACCAAATAGAATCTTCATGAGCATTTTCCTTCTTCAATTGCATATAATACTAGAAATAAGCAAGAGAAGTAGCGTCAATATGCCGATAAAATCAACTACGTATTTTATGCAATACTAAAACTCACCAATGTTGTTATTGACATAATTGAATCTTATGGTAGCCTAGATTTGTAAAAATAATAAATAAACTGCTTTATTTGATTATTTCACGAAAGTTTATAAAGATCAACACAACAACTCGCAAGAAATCTGCTAATGCTAAATCAAATCAACACATTTGACAGTTGACAGTTGACTTGACAATTGACAAACAAAACGTCAGAACCGGGATGTGCACATTTTTTGACATTAGTGAATGATTCATAATATTCTGAATAATTCAATTTAATTTTAATAAAAGAAAAAATACTTAACATGCACATTTATTTATTCTTCGTTTTACAATTTTTGCACCTTATATTGCATATTTCATGAAAATAAAAACATTTAAAATTTAAAAAAGAACGGTATGCCCATAGACCTAACTACATTACGCATGGATAAGAAATTATTGTCTATTGTGGGCCGAATGAGGCTCAGACTATATTTCTGCTCATCAGATGGCGCTAGTGCAAACCTCTCGTTTAAGTAATTAGATAGTGTTGCAGCATTGGACGTTTATTATTTGATAGCTGCTATGATTGAACAATAAAAACTGTTCTTACTTTTGCTCCATCTGATGAGTAAAACAACGGTAGCCTCCATATTATTGTTTCTTTTTCCCTGTACCTCTTTGCCTTAGCAGAAAGCGAGAACATCATTATCATTCTGGTAATTTTTTTTCGACGTCATCAATATACCTATTTGGGGCCAATATACATTATTTCACGCTTGTCTCCCATGGGGGTAGGCAGATACTATGGAACACCAATTACTTCGATTCCTACATACCTCTTTCGCTTCATCAACAGTCAATTGTGCGCTCTTTAAATATGTAGTTTAAATACAATATTTTTCTTACGAATGAAGTTCTTACTTTCAAATATTTAAAATAAAATGAATTGAAATGCGTTTCCGTACCGATAATTTTATTTTGCGCATATTTAATGCTCTTTAAAGAAAATATGTTTTAATTTATCATAATAACGAAATGCAAGCTTAATTGAGTATTAAATAGATCTCGCTGATATTTGGATTAATATTACCTACCCCAGACAATATAATCAGATATAATGAATCCCAAAATTTCTATCATCATCGTCATCGTAATCATCAACAGCCTTTGAGTTTACTGTCTGCAGTTCTGCCTTTACTCTGGCAAAGGCTTTTTCCCATACGAATAACGTTTGAGCATTAATCACCACCCATGCTAAAGACGTGTTGGTGATTTCAAACTTATAAGTGTAGAAATTATAAGCCCAGGTTTCCTCACGATGTTTTCCTTTACCATCGGTCATTGGTCATCAGTGGTCTCTAAATAATATTAAACAGTATCTACATATAACTCGAAATCACATCTTATCTTTTTAAATAATGTTTATTGTATTATTGTTAAGTAAAACGAATATTTTTTAAAGATAGTTTAAACTACATATATTTTAATTGACAAGACTTTACTAAACATTATGTATACAGGCTGACTTGTTATAAGGAATTGCTCTAAAACAATTAGTGGTGATGGTGATAGATGGTATTACAGTTAATTTAAGTCTAAGCTTAGATATGACAAATGATATGATTTTTTTCTTATTTAAACTTAATACCTACATAAAGCTACGTACAGGCGGACTTATTACCTTAGGTGTTATCTATGTATGAGTCGACTTGTTACTAAAAGTAAGTAAATAATATACTTAACGTTACTTGAAATAAAACAGCGGGAAAATATTTTCCTGGATTTGTGAACCTAATACTCGTACGCTGATTGAACGTTTACATATTTGGGCGTATTTCTCACTGTAACAAAACATTCAATCCATTTATTGTTCAAGCATGTTGATTTATGGTTTCTTAATTTCAATATTTATTTGCAATTCGGTTAAGGCTAACCGTGGCGACCCAGAGACTTCTTATGTATTGGACTGTTTGAAAGGATTGGGTTTCAAACCTACCTAATTGAAATGAATTATTTTAGCGTTTACTTTTACTTTACCAACTTACCTACTTACTTTAGCAAGTACCAATGTGACTTATTTCGAGCTATATGTAGTTTCTAAGGTGATTTAGACTGAAAAATGGTGAAGGAAGGCATCGTGAGGAAACTTATCTCAGGAAACGTAGCTCATAATTTCTAATAATATGATTATTTAGTTTGGAATCGCCAACCCACATTAAAAAAGCTTGGTGATTAATGCTTAAATCTACTCAATAGCGTTCATAGGCTGGTGATGTGCTGATGTGTAAGGCCTGCTCTACCGAGCTCGTTACAGCTCTATCAACAGACGCGGCGTTAAAACGATTTGCATCCCGTCGCGGGTAACCGTCAAGTATAATGTCCTAAACCAGCACGAACTTTGTCGGTACTAATAATAAACTTTCTAAGTTTTTAAACAATTCTGAAGCATTTTTAAGCAGATCTTAAAGATACAATAGCTGTAGAAGATATCGAATTTAAATTTGAGCCTGCTTGTCACCCATACTTCGACGGATTAGCTAAACCAGCCGTCGTCCGACAAAGATTAATTTAAAACTATTGTTGCAAACCTTAAATTACCTTAGAAGAAATTACTACATGACTTTGAAATAGTAGCCGTGTTAAATTCTCGGCCTCTTGCTCTTCTCTCCTGGGACTCCTTGATATTTCCCTTCTACCTCAAAAACATTTTTATTGTAGACGATGATTTAGGTGAATTCCTTATCCACAGGCATCTAACGCGAATATCGACTATATCAATCACCTTGAGGGATTCAGAACTGAGGTTGTGAAACAACGCTTCTGGAATTAATTTTCTTTAGAATCACTCTTTTGCAACAGATAGTCAAGTGGTCGTCTTGTAACGTGGATGGAAAATAAGCCCTTTAGTACGAATCAAATAGAGAGCCTTTCCCCCTATGCTGTTTTTGGGACGAAAACCAATCTACATTCGGAAGGCAACGATGCCGTTGCCTTCGATGTTGGTATGCACCAAGATTCACCGAAATGAATACAAAACGTGGCACCATCCACAGAAACGATTATATTACTATCAGTGCCCTTCTACAGATTTTTTAAGTTTTAAATATTAGGTATATTTCAATCCAGTCAACATATTGGAAATCTAATCAACGAGGCGATGTGCGCGTTCCTGGCAGGTAAGTTCAAGCGTTACGTGACCTACGGCATCGTATGTGGCCTACGTGACCTATCACAAGTAAGCATAACGATGTTTCGGGTGCAATAAGCCACTCAAACTTCGGTTCCTTTCAAATGTTATTAATTTTCAAAGAAATAGTTTCTTGAATTACCTTACATACAATCCACTCTTTCATTAGTTCATTTACAAAAACTAACTGCAACTAAGTAATCGAGAGAATTATGAACAGAATGTGTAATTTACTTAATGTTGTAAGTGCTAAATAGATCTCGTTGATATTTGGCATAGTGTGACCTTAATATCCGATACTATAAATCCCAAAATTCCTACAAAAGACGAATTCCACGCAAACGAGTTGCGGACACTAGCTTGTTAAAAAGCAAAGTTGGATAAATAATGAGATGACGAACATGTATTTAAATTAATTTAAAAACAGGCCTACTTGAAACAAATCGCCTCTCTATTATTAATCGTTCGGTTCTCAGTAAATAATTCCAGGAATTGTCAAACCTGACACTCGTGCGCTGATTGGTCGTTTCCATTTTTTATCATATTTCCCACGGTTAAACAAAGCATTCAGCTCATCTATTGTTCGAGCATAGTATTTTACGTTTTCTTTAGTAAGTAGTATTAAGTACTATTATTACCATGACTACCTACCCAATAACTTGTTTAAGTTGGCATATCCAAATATATAGTTTGAATAAGTGTGCTCCAAAATATCGAAAAACAAAATATTTACGCTCGAAATCCTTAAATCAAAATTTAGAATTATGGATTTTGTAGGATAATATTCGATATTATAAGGTCTAGGGTCACACTATTCCAAAAATAGCATAGTTTCGAGGAAAACTGATGTAATAACGAGATGGGCACGACATTTTAATGACATCCTGAACCCTGCTGCAATCAACGCAGACCTGTCGTGCATAAATAAATGATATTGTAAATTTTCCAGTAAGGCAGGGTCTGGACGTTATACCTGATTTTGATGAGTTTACGCGTGCAATAAAAAGTATAAAACTCCTATTGTGGACCATCTACCCGCAGGAGTTTACAAATACATAGGAAAATGTTGTAAATAGAGCCTACTAACTCGTAAAAAAGGTTGTGGGAAATCAAGAGAGTCCTAAAAAGCTAGAAAGATGCAGAAATGTGCAAGTTGTCCAAAGGAAAATGGGATGTCTGCGATCGAAGCTCTTATCGAGGTATTTTACTGCTTTCCAGTGGCGATTGATAGATTTCTACCACCTAAGCTTTAATAAGTTAGTCTGATGCTAGGCAACAATGACTGGGGATATGAAGCTAATACTTAGTATTCAATTAATATTTATCCACGTCGAATATTATTTATTCGAAAAATCTCCTATCTCAACTGGGAACCGTAGTGCATACCTATATTTAATATGAAAATAACAAAATAAGTTTTGTAAATTGTTGTTTACTATATAGTGGGATTGTTTGTACTAAAACTATAGGAAGAAATCTAATCTTCCATCAACTTTTAGCATATTATTAAGACCTAGAAAAGGGGACAAAGCCTTGAGTCTATTCTTTTAGAAAGGTTTCCTCCTCTTTTGGTAATAGCATATTCTTTAGGAAAGATTTCTGACTGAACCTTCCGAATTATTACATTTAAAGATGTAATACAACCGGCCATTAACCAATTAATTTATTGGTTTTATTTAAAAGCATTCTTTCAAATATTATAATTGCGAAAGTTTGTGCGTTTGTAAGTTGGTAACTCTATCACGTCAAAATGGCTGAAGGGATTGGGACTAAACTTGGAACAGAGGTAGATTATAGTTGGGAATAACACATAGGTGACTTTTTATTCCACGAGAACCCAGGCAAAGCCGCTAACGGTACTGATCCGTGATTACTTGGAGATTTCAGGGTCGTAATGGTTTAAACCCACTTGCCATGCATGAGAGTGCGGGTTTGAAAACTACCAACGGCAAGCATCAATGTGACTTTGAACTTTCTAAGATTATTCAGACACCACTGACAAACGAAGAAAGAAAATAGCGTGAGGAATCCTGGATTTATAATTTCTAATTATAAGTTTGAAATCACGAACTAACATGCAAACATGCTTAATGTTTAAACCTTCTTTATGCGAGAAGAGGTCTTTGGTCAGCAGTAGCTACTGATGATGCTACTGGTCGTTGCAAATTACTGATGATAGGTCTAGTTTTAATTACGGTTAAAATTAAATCTATATTAGTACCTATTATTGTTATGTATTAGATGATAATCAACTAAGTTCTTTACATCGGTCTTCCTGTCAATTTTATAATTTATGATAACTTAGCCACTCATGTTCAGCTTTCATAAGGAAATTGGGCAGTGATATATCAATGTTCCGTTTACGAACTAATTCCGTTTACTAACAGAGATCTGAGTTTGAGGACAGTACTGAAACCGGGGTACGTACGTATGACTGGTCACGTAAGCCACGGGCTTGGTCACGTAACGCGTGAACCCGCCAGAAATGTGGGCATTGCCTCCTTGTTTAGATTTTCAACACATTCACATCTTAAATAGGAAAATTATTGTATTTAGTTTATTTGCCACAAGCGCACAATTGAATAGGTAAAAACGAAGATGTTTTAATTAAAAATGCAGTACATATTTACTGATGTAATGGTACATCTAGCGTTTTATTTGTACTTTTAGTGCCACATCGAATAACACTGCATTACGGCATCTTTCTCCTCATTGATCTTTATCTCTACAACCACTTTAGCATAAAAACAACATATATTCCACTGAAATTTTCATACAAACATGTCCAAACACAAAACTTTGGAAAAGAACCAACCTTTTTTTTTGTAGTGGAGAATTGGTCGCAAATAGGTATTTTGGTAACGTTACAAAATTATTCTAAAAACGAAATTGATGTATTCTTTCTTTCTGCTTATGGAAATAGACATTATTAAAAAAGGAACAACAGTATGTATACTGATTTACCGTCGAGATGCACATATCTTAAATTCTGTCTATACACAATCATTTCCAATCCATACAATTTTAGATCCGTAATCGGTTGTCGTTAAGCGTCTGTGACCGCACCTATAAAAGCGCGTGAGCGTGAGAAATTTTATCACTTCCTTGGTGTTAGCGGCGGCGTCAACATCTCTCCAACGTAGCGTTGATCAGTTTTGTTACTAACATCATTGTTGATTATTGCTCAGTTTATATTGTTTACAATATATTCGTTAAATTATACACAATTGATATTGTGTGTGTTGTTTAGTGGTTGTTATAGTAAGTGAATAACTTGTTGTTATCCTGAAACGCAATGGCTGTTTCGAAATCAACAAACACGTATAATCGTCAAAATTGGGAAGATTCGGTAAGTACTTATTTATTTCGATTTATTACTGATTGTATTCGTATTGTATTGTGTGTGTAATATATCTAATAAATGTTTTTTTTGTTCCTCAGGACTTCCCAATCTTGTGTCAGACGTGTCTTGGTGATAACCCCTACATTCGTATGGTAAGTGTGGTATTTCTTTTTATTTTCAAAATTTCTGGTCGATACTTATAAAGACTTGTATCTAATGTTGTATTATTTCGTTTCAGACTAAAGAGAAATACGGCAAGGAATGCAAGATATGTGCACGACCCTTCACCGTGTTCCGTTGGTGCCCTGGCGCGAGGATGCGTTTCAAGAAGACGGAAATATGTCAAACATGTTCTAAACTGAAGAATGTTTGCCAAACGTGCCTTTTGGATCTCGAATACGGATTACCAATTCAAGTTCGAGACGCTGCATTGAAAATACAAGATGATCTACCTCGTAATGAAGTTAATAAGGAATATTATATACAGAATTTAGATAGTCAAATGTCGAAATTTGATTCAACGCAGCCAAGCAATTCTGCTTTGAAGTCGAAAGGAGCCAACGATTTGTTGCTACGGTTGGCGAGAACCGCGCCATATTACAAACGGAATAGACCCCATGTATGCTCATTCTGGGTGAAAGGGGAGTGCAGACGAGGTGAAGAGTGTCCTTATCGCCATGAGAAGCCCACTGACCCTGATGATCCACTAGCTGACCAGAACATCAAGGACAGGTAAGCATTTCTTCTACCACTGATAGCACATACACATAGTGCATCATATAAGAATCTTGCTAAGTTTGTCTCTAAGTCCTTACTAATCAGTAGTGAAATAAGCAGTAAATGATTCAGTTGCATAATTGTATTTACACTTTACATGTATTAATCTGTCAAACACCAAGCGGTCACCGGTGACCGCGACCTATTGTTCTTTAATTGTGTCTATAAAACCGGTACTCGACGAGTTAATTTGTTTGTTAAATTTCTAGATATTATGGAGTGAATGATCCTGTGGCTGAGAAGTTGATGCGTCGCGCTGCTGCCATGCCAGCCCTGCCTCCACCCGAAGACAAGACTGTCACTACTTTATACATTGGCAATCTACCGGATAATATTAGCGAAGATGAACTTAGAGGTCACTTCTATCAATATGGAGAAATAAGGTATGTTCAATTGTTTTTTTCATAACTTAATCTTTTTTAATGTTGTCCCATATTTTACTTATAATCTATAACTTTTAAATGTTTTGATATAAAAATTAACTGCTATCCTTTGAATTTTGTAACTACAAATGCCAATGTTGTTCATGGCTTGTTATTTATGTATAATTATTTCTGTTCAGGTCTTTGACTTTGGTGCCTCGAGCGCAATGTGCCTTTGTACAATACACTACGAGAAGCGCTGCAGAGCATGCTGCCGAAAAGACATTCAATAGATTGGTCATAGGTGGTAAACGACTTACCATCAAGTGGGGTAAATCTCAAGGTTAGTATTTTTTATTTCTTTTTCACAATCAATTTTCTTCTCAATTGTTCCTATTGATTGATTTTATACGTACTTACTTTTAAAACTAACTTATTTATATACTGTTATCAATTTTAACAGGACGCCAGGGTGGTAACGAGAAGAACGAAACTGCGCCAGTGTTGGAGCCGGTCCCTGGACTGCCCGGCGCTCTGCCGCCACCTCCAGCATACTTGCACCCGTTCCCGCCTCAGGTAAATATTGATCTAGTTTGCTTTTAACACATGTAAATTCCAAACAGACTTTGCCTTACAGAACTAACTGAGACAGATGATGATGATCAAAGTCTTTTTATTTTTATATATTTGATGGGTTGATTTTTGTAGTTACAGCAAGTAATAGCGTTTTTTTTTTGTTTATAGATGCCACCTCCACCAAATCGTCCAAACGACTTCTTCAACTTGCATCATTATGGCGGCGGAGGCTGGCCTAGTTGGGGTGCAGGCGTGCCTGGTGTGCCTGGAGTGCCGGGCGTCCCTCCCCCGCCCGCCCCGCTAGCACTCCACTACCCGAGCCAAGATCCCGCCCGGCTCGGTGCACACGCACATGCTAACCAACCACAAACATAGTACTTAAGTAATTGTAATTTGTTGTTATGTAAAACAGGTTGATTGCTGGCAATGTGTTGTCATAACCTGCGTTATGGATAACGTACGCCTTGTCATACCTGCCTTTGTAAATTATGTACAAGATTGTACAATGCTATCAAAGTGATAGCATTTTAGACCAAACACTATTTGTATTTTGTAAAATATGTAAAATGTGGCTGTGCAGTTTTGTACAACTTTGAACTATGTCCTTTGTGCCACACAACTCGCATGGTTAAATGCTTGAGATCACTTGTATTTAGTTATAGTAAAATTGGTTAACTAGATTAGGAAAAAACTGAAGATTTTATTAATAAATGAATTGTGTATAATATTACTATCTTTAATTTTTACTTCTCCTCAATGTTATATACTTATACATTGTCAATTAATTGTAAAAAAAACTAAATAACAAAATAATAATAATTCTAGAAATAAAATTATTTCATACTGAGAGACTGATCAGGAATACTGAAAGTAGAAATACAATTTTAGGTTGTACTTATATGTCGCTATTTCTGTCATTTTACAAAGAATTTGTAGCGACAGAACTACATAAGCGCGACTTAAATTGAGTGGCCTTTTAGTAATCCGGCATAAAGTCCCATACAGGTGTTGTGACCAAACATCCGAGGTACTCGGTACCTGCCTAAAATTGTTGCAATGCATCTAGCAACAGAATGTAACAAATGGCGACTAATAGGAAGAGATTCTTATCCAAAAACATCAATTCGCTTTGAGTCAGTTTATTAGGGCGCAGAGTCGAAATGCATAGAAGCGAAATTAATAAGTACGTTGATTTAATTATTTCGGACATTAAAAAAGGAGCGGGCAAATGTGCAAGAATAGGCTGGGGTTTAGCTCTGCACGTCTGGGCATTATAGAGGTAGAGGGAAAGGAAGAACTTAGATACTGTGTACCAGGTGAACGATATTAGGCGTTACGCTGTAGTAGGTTAATATGTAATGTATTTACCAGCGCTTATACAATACATTATAGAAACAGGTCCATCAATTCAAGCAGGTAACAAGCGCAGCCCCTCATGAATGAATAAACGCCGGAGTCGCCGACAAATTTCGAAATTCTTCGACACAGATCCGCCATTTAGAATAACATTAAACTACTATGACATTGGAATAATTTATTTGTAAACATAGGTTGTAAAATCGTTATGAATTAGGACACGACATAATTATGATAAGTATAGAAACGAATAACAACATAACCAAAGCATCGTCCGACGAGTACATTAGTACATTTTGCTTGTTCTGCTTCCATCTGCTTGCTTTATAACTGTAGCCGGAATGGACCAGCGCCGATAATCGCTGGTACGTCGGCGTCGACTACCAGCTTGCTTTCTGTACACTTATGGCCTTAGTATATACTAGGAAATAAAATAATGATTTCTGAAACTATATTTATTATTAATCATAAGTTTATAACATGACTTAATCGTTACAAAACAGTTTAAACATTTAGATAAATCTACACGCCTTCGCTTACCATTTATCTGGGGTAAGGACGGTCTGGTAAATAATTTACATTATGCTAGGCCCAGATTATACATAACATACCTACGTACGTACCGTCGCGCCCCAATAATGGGCGGTCACATGTTTTACTAAGATACATTTCGCAAGCGGCATATATGTATTGTATTTGTTTTAGTTTCCGAAGCTGTTTAGTCCATTGACTAGTTAATAATATGCTTAAACGTTTACCAACTTACACTATATATTTATACAACGATAAATACTAAAATCGAAGTCTTGTGCATCTAATAGATAGTCTCAACGCAGGGCAAGAGGGAGTCACACACTTGGAAACACTAACGATTAAGTAAATGGTCCAAATACATACATTTATTAGCGATGTTACATGAAGATATTTAAACATTCATTAAACTTCAAATTTAAATATTCAAAGGATATTTATTTATTATTTACATATCATATTTTTGGAATGTTAACAAAAGATATTAATTTACAACTATTAAAAGTAAACAACAGATATTATTTGCAAACAAACGATAATTTAATAATCGCTCGATATTGAGCTTTGTAGTATGTACCAATATGAGTATGTTGACATTAAGATACATGCAAGGTAATACGCAAGAGTTGACAATTTAAGAAAAATGTACTAAGCAAAATCTGTGTATAAAAATATTAACCGCTTTATGAGTAATGACATATTCAGCAATAATGAAACCCTGGTAAACACTATTTATGTGTAGATTCCACATCTTTAGTAGGTACGTAGATCTTAAAGCGTTCGTAAGCTCATGTCGATTAAAAATAATCGTTACAGCTAGCAAAATAACTAATTAGTGGCGTAATATTATATCGTAATTCCATAAATATCGTAATCATTATTGTAGTAAAATACTCAAATGCTGTTCAATAAGTACAGTGCGACAGAAAATAGAGATAAAAAGAAAGTCTTAATTCTGATTTCATTGCATTTATTATGATTGTATGATGACAACAGTGAATATGCATTAGAACACGACAATTGATAGAAAGCTACTAAAACTCTATTATGTGTTGCACTATACATTTAATTAATAATTGAAACGCCAAACTTTGCATAAATTAGTTCAATTAATTGTTTAAATAACAATTACACAGCCATATGACATTTTGGCCGATACAACAGCGTTCTAACACACGGGGCTACTGCGGCATACGGTGCGCTTTGTAGAACGTTTAGAGCGTTGCTATAAACGCCAAACGAACAAACAGAGTTCACCCAATCACATAAAGTTTTACATGTTAACAATTGATAATACGAGTAGCGATGGATAAGTAAGAACGCTTTCTATTCCCCAAGCTATCGTTAAATTTGATCGTACTTGAGGTAGAGTACATTTTATGATAAAAACGCGATGTATATTATAATAATTCGCGTTATTATGTCTGTGTCCGAGAAAAATGCAAACATGTTTATATTAATATCAGAAGAATACTACAGGTATCTTGATTGATGAAGTTATTGCGTACTATCTCGATATGCAGACTCCGGCGACACATTTATTCCATACTCCTGTAAATAAAATCATATGTAATTAATAAATACCGCCTATAACAAGATATCTAATAATTTGTTACTTTAATAAAAAATTACGAGTTACTCAAGCAAATATACTGAGAAAAGCCCTACTAGTAACTAGTGTGCGACCACGCACATGAGTACCTCTGTGACTCGAAACTAGTAGAGCTTTTATCCGTATATTTATGTTTATAACTCGTAATTTTTAGTTAATTCAGCATGTCTCACGATTGTAATTATAAAAACAATTTGTTACTATATCATAACTTATTCCTATGCATGCAACAATCGTTTAAAGACTATCTATTAACAAAAATGCCTAGCCAATTCATTAATTAATCATTAATAATTAGTTAATGATAATGTTACGTTGACTTATTGATGATTAGCTAATGACTTGCTAATTATGATCACTATAGTCAATGATATTCGTAACAGCACTTAGCCATGCATGCTTAGATGTAAAACAACTGAATAAGGCCTAAAACTGAGTTAGGCGGGCAAACGTCGTGTGTCTACGTGCGTGTACCCGCGGCGTCCCGGGTCTACGTGCGTGGACAGACGGCGAGCTCCGTGGGAACGCGAATATTGTTCCACCACATTGTTTCCCTTATCTACCTTTTATTGTTAACGTGACAAATTACTGTTATATTTCTAAAATTGTACCTCATCCCAGTGGTTCCCATAATTGTTTGGACTACAACCTATCTAAATCAAGTTTCTAAACTCAGGACCCATCTTTAAGTATTTAAACCGTTACCAATATGATACAACAATATACAGAACGGTTGCTTAGTTCGTCTTTCTACAAACAAGGGCTACTACTAATACTTTTAAAAACTACGTTTAAAGAACCGACCCCAACCCCCTCCTTTTTTGAAGTAGGTTAATTTAATATACTAAAACTTTTTGGACTGGACATATAGTGGCCAGATTGGCGATATATTAAAGAAGGGCCAAATTAAAAGTACCCTTAACCGACGAGCATGCATGAAAAGATTGATGACTGTTAATGAAGCGAAAGAGGTATGTAAGAATCGTAGTAATTGGCGTTCCTTAGTCTCTGCCTACCCCCATGGGAGACAGGTGTGAAGTTATGTATGTAAAACTTTTTTCTGTGTAACAAACATTTTGCTGAAAACTACATCAACATGGTTCAGCCAGTCGCGAGATTATCGCGCACAAGCACAATACACACATACTGATCAAACTGAGAACCTCCATTTTTGAAGTCGGTTGAAAATTCGCTTTTGACCCACAGTTTGGGAAACTTTGCCCTATCGTTATAAGACGTACCAATTGTGACATTGTTAAAAAATATTGAACCTAATTGAAAATACCTATTGAAAATATTGCATAGAAAGACCGCTTCCATTCTTTGTAAACATTTCTTGTGTCACACAAGCTACATCATCATCAGGCCCTGGCAGTGTACTGGTGGACTATGGATGTCGTCTATATATTATTATCTAACAGGGTATTGCTAATCCCCACTGTTGTCAACCAGGTTCGACATCGCAGTTTACAAAGTTTTGTTTTATCAGACACAGCTGCATGTCTGCCTATTGTGTAGTTCCTTATTTGGTTACGGCTTCGGTTCTAGGGCATTCAGGCGTAGGTACACATGAATTAAATGTATGTAACGTATATAACGTATTTAGTTATAAAGATATCTTAGCGCTTGCCATCTGAATTCAGGCTTACTATAACATGTAGCGCCATCTATTGGTACAGTATGTGTACTAATTTAGTTGTTTCACATTAAAGTAAATAAACACGTGCATTAACTGCATGCATATATCAAACAAAAAAAAAACATGCACGTCCAGTACCAGGCGATAAACATTGCACATTGACTTTTTGGAAAGATACAATTTTATTACGATCATTTTGCTAAGTAAGTTTTTGTTTTTCAAACTTTTTATGATTTGAGCCTCAAAGCCTCAAAATTTGAGGACAGTGGTCGAATAGTTTTAGTAGCTTATAATCATAGTACGAGTTATGTTGACCGATATTTATAGCCGGGTACTGTACTTGGTAATACGCTAAAATAATAAAATAAAAAAGGTAACTAGGTACAACGTTATATCGATTTCCAAATAATTGAATATTAATTAATAGAAAATTATAATATACAAACATTCGATTAATTAATTATTTGATATTATAGACATTCAAAATTATATATTTATAGTGATCAATCAATAGATATTTATGTCGGCGTAGTACCTTAAATAAATGAAAACATAAAAAATCAACTAATTAATATCCATTCATACTACATATTACTAGTACTACTACTTGCAACAACTCGACTTAATAGAAAATAAGAAGGATAAATAACATGTCATTCATGCTAAGTGATGCAAAGCACACCGGCGGGCCAATAATTTTAACCGCGAAGCAATAAATAAACTTTGAATCGGGTTGGTATTTTTGCTCTCTATGTGTGTAGGTCAAAATCATTCAAGACCTTATAGTCCATCTGTTTAAGTCTGTTGAAAATTTTTACTAAATACTAAAAATAAATCGATGCCATTTGAAAAGCAATATTAAACCGAATGTGTTAGTTAATTAAAGTTACTTTTCAAACGTAACCTATCTATATATATAAAAATGAAACCCGACCAAACGGCTTGACCGATTTAGCTGATTCTTTTTTTGTTGTATTTGTTATTATTAAGAGAAGGTTCTTAAAACAGAAAAATACCTAAAAATCCTACGGGAACAGGAGAAAACGGGATTGCGCGTACGAAGTCGTGGGTAGACGCTAGTTTTTTTTTATTTCCATATTAAGTCGTACAAAGATTAATCGCCTAAACAGATGTAAAGGTATGAATAGACTGCGACACTATACACGGAGCAGTCAGCGTATAAGTCTAATGTCTTTTTATGAATACGAGTGTCTGTAATTGGGAAATTTATTGTGACAGGATAATCAGTGTCGCATCAGCCGGCTCATCGTCCGTATAAGAGTTAATAGTACAGACAGACATGCATTAACCCATGCTTATTATTCATAGTATGTCGGAACGTGATAAACGCGAGACACAATATGTTTTCTATTCTGTGTCATATACCAACAAGAAGTTCTTAAACTCAGTCATATATGTCATAATTTTGTGTCGTATTCTAAGCGTAATATAGTGTGCTTCGAGGCAAACTAAGACATGACAACAATCAAAAGACATTTCACTCACATGCTATACGTTGGCCGTTGACTAATACCGGTTAGCGTTAGCGATCTGCGCGTTGACGGCGGCGGCCGCGGCGCTGGAGGCGGCTGTCTGAACGTGTTGATTGCGCAATATCTCCGTCGTGAACTCTGCTTGCGCCTTTGCCAAAGACGCTCCCGTTGACCGGTAGATGCGGTGAACCTGTTCAAAGAATAATTTTTATCACATTCCATGCTCCACATTGCTTTGATAGTAAACATTTTTATACAAATTCTTTGAGAGTATTGGTTTAGTAAACTCGTTATCTTGTGTAACTTCTTGTTGCACAAGAATAATTTAATGATAATGTTTTATTGATGCTAATAAACTACTACTACCAATATACTCGTCAACATTTTTCTTCGTGTCATGTGTTTTTCTTTTAAACTGTCAAACACCAAGCGGTCACCGGTGACCGCGACCTATTGTTCTTTAAGTCTATAAAACCGGTACTCGACGAGTTAAATCTTGGTGCATATATTATTATAGTCCACTATAGAGAATTTAATATAATAGAAATAAATAAAACTGCAGGAGACCTTGTCCTAGTAGTCTCGCAGTCAATAACGACCTTACGAGGCATTTAGTCACATTGAACATTTACGATATTAATTGTTAAATGCATATTACATTACATTGAATTGTATTGTTCTCTGTCATCCGCTAATTAACGCTTTAACCTTCGTATGAATATGAACCCTGTATTATGCCGATTTTAAAATACATTCTGCTTGTCTGATCAATGGTAATATGTGTTTCATGAAACTTATTACCTACAGATTTTTTTTGAGGGCGTAAAATCATCCATTTACTTCCGCCTTGGGTTAGGCGAGAGGGAGTGTCAGACTCTTACTGACTAAACTGCTCTTCGAGCCGGAGCCCCGGCAACCCATTAGGTCTTCCGTGACTCCGTATCGGGACACTTATTACTAACTTACAAATGACATAACATAACATCACACCTTTTATCCCCGAAGGGGTAGGCAGAGGTGCACATTACGGCACTTACTGCCAGTGTACTATGTAACACCCACTTTTCACTATTTATGTTATGAGTCCCTTGTAATAGGGGGTGAGCCTATTGCCTTTACAAATGGCACTCACTATTATTTGTCGCCTTTAGCATAGGCGTATTCCATAGCAAATTAAGCTAGTGCCGGGCCAGGTTACAGAGAGGTGCCGCGAAACGCGCATGCCCGACCGCCCATGGAGTGGCAACGGCGCCAAAATCATTAAGGGAGCCTATGAGGTCCTTGCCTAGGGCGCTCTCACTACTCTTTGGTATTTGTGCATTTCTGCCTACCCCTTCGACTAATACAAGGCGTGACGTTGTGTATAGCGGGATAAGAAATAACTGGAGCATAATTCAACTGACCGTCCAAGCAGATGCACAGTGCGTAAAGCATTTTACCTTTGTCACTCAACCGTGAAGCGTAAAATGAATAGCATACAGCAATATCTACAGTTTTAATTTATGCAAAATGTGCTATTACAATTTGAGCCTTAATTAAAGGGATGTGGATTGAAAAACGTGTAGCGACGAGATACGTTTGTCACTAATCTTCTAGTGGGTGTCGTATATTCGACTAAGGGACTGGAGCATTATCACTCTCTGAGAAACCTAAACCTTTTAAACTGCGGTTTGCGGTGTTAAACTCGCGTGGGCAGGTATGAAGATTATGAATATGTAGAGAACGCTCAAGTCGAGCAGTGGTCTGTCATAAGCTGTTGTTGTGGTGTGTGTGAGTTTTTTTTTTTATATTTGTAATTCGTATCATACCTTAGCCATTAACATGACATCAACGACGACACACATGATAAATCCAATGGTGACCATCAAAGTGATGATGCCGACTGCAACGTTCGTTTTGAAAGCGCCGATGCTGGTGATCAGTCCGCTGTAAACATTTAATTGTTTATCAATAAAAAATTATTAGAAAATAGCTACTAGTACTCCGCCGCTGTTTCACCCGCTCTGCTTGGCGCCTATTGGTATTAGCGTGATGATTTATAGACTACTAGCTTTTACCCGCAGCTTCGCTCGCGTCACAAAAGGATAAAAAGTAGCCTATGTAACATATACCAATACATACTGCGCCATCTATACCAATACTTTTGTTTTCCCTCGGGAATATCAAATTTTTCCGGGATAAAAAGTACCCTATTATTTAATCCGGACTTCGAAGTTTACGTATGCAAAATTCAAAGCAATCGGTTTAGTAGTTACGGCGTGAAAGCGGAACAAACAAACAAACTCATTTTCCGATTTATAATATAAGTAAGGAAAGTAAGGAAGTAAGGATAACCTTTTCCGATAAATGCTCTATCCAACACAGAAAGAATTATTCAATTCAGACTCAAGGGTTCAAACAAACAAACAACAAAATAAATTCTTCAGTTTTCCATACTAAACAATAATAATAATAAGGTATAAAGATTAGTTAGGGTACAATAGGGGTACGGGTTTATATATGCGTTTGATATCTATGCGCAGACCAATCTTGATGTGAAATGTTTGTAAACATGCCAACCTTAGGGTAGAAGTCGAAATAAGACGTCTTGTCAATCCCGTAGCGTCAAATTCAGTCGTACGTTTGTTGGTTTGTTTACATTTAATGTTCAAATCGGTTATTGTTGTAGATAAATAAATACTTTCAAAAAAGCTAATACTGACTGAATAACCTTTGACCTCCTTTTTCCTTTAAATGAAAGTCACAATATTGTGTATCTTTAATTGATGTAACACTAGTTTTATACATCTGTTTACTTGGTACTTCCCATGTCTGTAATCTGTCAATACACCCTATATAAAGTTCAATAATAATAAGAAGTAAATTAGACCTACCAGGAACCTCCACCGCTGAATCCAATAGACTGCACAACAGTGATGATGATTTGGAACAGAAATATGAAGAAGAACACCATGAAGTTGAATGAGGAGTCGCTTCTGAACGCCTTGTAGATTGGCCGGTACCAACAGACGAAGCTGAAGGGCGTCAGCAGTATGAAGTACAGGATTGATAGGCCGAACGTCGTGAAACCGTTACCAGCGAACATCAGTGACATGGCACCGATTATGTTCAGTGTGAGAACCAAGGCATGGACTGGAATAAAAGAAAAATAGATAAATAACTGTAGCACTAATAACACGTTAGCTGAGCAAAGTCACAGCATTTATTTCAATTAATCCTTTTAGACACTTTTGGAATGTCAAAATTCGAATTAACTGTCTGTGAGTGAAGCACTCATTCTAAAGTGTAATTTCGAATGGAAAGGAATGAGCAAGAAACTCCATCGTTACTCTTTTAAAAATATGTTTCTACAATTTCTATTTGCCTTAACTATCTGTAGTCATATTATTGTGATCATAGATTTAAGAATCAAATCAGGACGACAATGATTATTCTAAATACTCACACATCCATAGGTGATAGAGGTGACGTACAATCCTCTGGAATTCCAGTGGTATATCAACATTGATGTCTTGATAGAAACATGGCTGTATGGGACAGAAGGCAGGCAGTGGGGGCCAGTTATTCCGTCGGCCGGCAGAACCAGCGCGCAACTCCGCCTCCCTCCGCGCTAACTCCTCAGCTTTTCTCTCTAACTCCTCTTGTCTTCTCTGCAGATCACTCATTACTTTAAATCACCCGTACAACTCACTGTTAAACCTGATCTGAGTTTATGTTTAATCTAAAGCGGAAAGTTCCGCCCACAAGTGCAATTACAAATCACAAGATCGCGTGGGTGTTTCATAGCGTTTACTGTGAGTTTGTCGCTGCTGGACAGTAAATTGAGCAATTTAAATATGTGCACAACAACATCTATTTTTAAACGAGATAAAGTGATTACTTTTGACACTACTCCTGTGCTATTAACTTGTTGAAAAGCGAGTAAGTAAAATTACAATGTGTGAAAAAATGGCTACACAATTTACACTACTCTAATTTGTGCAATTATGATATTTAACTTGCTTACAATTTTTTTAGATACAGTCATTACAGTGACTAATTAAACTGTTCTAACTGTGCCACTACATTATTGCACACTTTCATTTAGTAAAGAAAACAAAAACAGCACAAGTATGTCATAATAATAATGCATTTACAGATAATATTACAAAACTGATTCATATGTTAACAAGTGTTTACCTTCAACTCCTTTTGTGCGTTTTGAAAAAAGCAAAGTGCATATTAGTAACATGCAGAAACATTGTTTACATGTGCAGGTGTTTGCTACATAATTTATTGTTTAATTCACTGTTCAAAGTTAGTCATGGCTTTATCTTATCATATAAATAATGGATTTCAATTTTAAATATATGGTACTGTAATCTTGTACTGTATTTACTTTATACTAGAAATATCACTTATGATAGCAATGTATTTAAGATATCATTGTATCCTGTTTACATTTAATACTTAAGTAAAAAAAGGTACAGGTTTTGTACCTTTACAGAAAGGAAGACTTTAGAACTTAATACAAGAATAAAAGATCATGAAATGTGTTTATCAACAAAGATAATGACTATAATTTTTAGAATATTATCATAGGAATTGGAATTCCCTTCAATTAGATAGTGTTCTTTTTAAGTAAGCACTGAGTCATGATGTTTTTTGTTGCTTAAACCTTAGTTGTGCATAATTATGAACAGACAAAGAAATATTACAATTATTATTAACTACCTACATATATCAATTTGATTAGATTTCCTAATTGGGTAATTTGGCAGAACTTGAATTAAAAAAATTTTCTTCTGAACATATGGAATAAGTAGTGATGCATGAGCCTAATCATAAAATGTCAAGAAATTTATTTATATTGTTAAAATGTTAAAATACATGTAATAATAGAGAATTATCATACTTATTTAATATAATAATTACCTACTTTGTCTTTCCTTTACTAAAGGCTTTGTTGTTATCTATTATTGGATATCCAATTAAACTAGAACATATTTATTATTGTGCAATTATGATGCATGTTATCCTTACATATTTCTAGAAGTTATGGAGAACAAATAATTTACAATTAAGTACCTGAAAGTCAGCTGTAGTAAAGTTTTGTGGTGGTTGGGACTGTGCCTGTGGTTGAGGTTGAGCTGGCCGTGTGTATTGCCCACTCACTGGAGGTGACACCGCTTGCATGATTGCTGGCTGCGAAGGCTGCTGCGGTGCCTGTGGCTATAGAAACACCAAACCATACTTAAATGATGCACTCTCACAACTGAACCAATGATATAAAGTATAACTCATAACAAAACATCACTAGAATAGATCTCTGAACAAAGATTAATGTAACACTCAGAATTGAGCAAGGAAAAGTAAATTCTAGACCCCATAATTAAAATAATTGAGCTACGCAGATTATTGTACCCCGATATCTATAAAAGATACCGTTGCACGTATCGACACCTACAAAAATCCCACTAATGACTAATGAACATGTACCGTAGCTTGATTTGCATTTTGTTGGCCATCGAAGGGATTGTAGTCGTCGAGACCTCGTGTAGCATTGTTAGTACTTCTGGCAACCTGCTGCACCGCAGGGTCCTGAAAACAATTCCCAATGTAACAACAATAATAGGAAAACAAATAATTTTTCGTATCAGCGTAGGGCTACATACTGCGAACGGGTTGTCTATGGTTGGATCACTAAACGGGTTATCCTCGAATTTCGACATTGTTGAAAACTTATTCACGCCACTTTACAGTTTGTCATGTACTATAAACAGAAAGGAAAGTTTTTCTCACTCCTCAATTATATATTTTTAGCACAAAAATAGAGATAACAGTCAACCGAAATGACAGATTGCTGATGACGACGAAACTGACAGCTGTTTTGTTAGTGTTGCTATTGTAAATAAATTAGTTCAAGGTACAGTTGAATAAGAACATGTAAGATTGAAAAAAGATAATTTCCTATTGGATATGTCTTCTATCCTATTGGAATTCTTTAATAGAATCGTTTGTATTGGTATATAAGCCAAGATTTTTTTACTTCCAGTGTACGTATTACGTCTCTTATTTTAATTATCTATTTAGATAGAAAGTATGAGTAGCACCGGCAAAGCGCAAGAACTGTAATTTCCATTAGTTATGTAGTAGGTTGTATATCTTATGTTGTGTTACGAAATCATGAAGGTTATCTATCACAAGATTTTAAACCTTTTTTTTCGGAAAATATAATGAAAAAAGTTTTTTGTTCTTTTTTAATATCTGAATGTTGGTAACTTCGCTTTTATGGAGGTTGAAGTGAAGGCGAAAGTGGATTTGCAGTTGGCAACTACAAAACAAAGTGTCAGTTCACTGAATGATTCTGTCAAAGTAGGTAGCTGTTTACGTTTTTCTATCGTTATTTTGCGATCGTTTTGCACAACTTTTGTTATATCTTATTGTTTTTATGATAACGCTTTATCCCTACGTATTAATGGTGAAAATATAAAAGTGATATTTCTTATGTTTAATGAACAATGTCAGATGTCAAGAGGTGAATAGTCTGTGTTTTGTGTTCTAACGTGTGAGTGACAGTTTTTATATTGTTTGGGATTTGGAGCGATAAACATATCGGTGAGTATTTCCTCTTTTATTCATGCACAAAGTACTCGTAAACAGAGAAATGTTTCAGGTGTTACGTGGACAGTGGTGTTGAACCGTGAGCTGGTTGAATGATTGGCCGGGTTCTGGTAGTGCTAGGCTTGCGTAATGTAGCTATAGGTGTAATTCGTGTAGTGCTGGTACACTAGGGAAGCCGTTACACTGGTGTGGTACCGAAGGAGGCGCGTGCGCCAGCTGGTGCAAGCGGTCAGCGCGCGCGCAGCCGCCGTACGCTCATACGCAGCGAAAGTTGTTTGCTCTTGATATCAAGGAAGTAACGCCAGAGTAACAGAATACCGGTCTTACAACATCATACATAATAGGATTTCTTTTCTTTTATTCATAAGTATCACTGACAACAGGTGAGATGTATAAGGTTCCCATACATTATGAATGAATGACATAATTTTAACACCATGAGAATGATATGCAATAATATTATTGTAATTTAATTCTTAGCAAAGTGTAGGTATACATTTCTTTTGATTTATAAAATCTTATTAGGTATTGTAGGGAATTGTTGTCTGTATCTCAGATGAACTATTTTAAACAATCTACTTAAGTATATAATAATAAAACTGACCATTTAAACTGTTAATATGCATTCATAAATAATGTAATACTATTTTCCTGCATGTGGATTAAACAGAAACGCCAATTGTAGATAAATAGTGTCAGAGGCCATTCACTACATCTAATTATCATTGTTTTACTTGACCCTGGCTCTTTAGGAATATTAAGTATTACTTTATTATTCAAAACTTAACTTCCCTCACTAATTCTTGAAATTTTATGGCCATTTAATCCAATGCCAATGCACTTGTCCGTTCATAAGCAATATTTTTACTTTTATACAAGTGAACTCTGATAAAGAAGTTTAAATGTGAGTTCAGAATTGTTTATGTTAACTGAGCAATAATAATGCAGCTATTTTGTTGTTTGTGTTTTGTTTTTTCATCTGTTCTTGTTTACTCATCAAAGGTAGAAAACTGATTCTTATTGGATTTTTAGCAAATCTTATTTACTATCAAAAATAATATCCAATGTTTATTTACACCAATAAGATTGCATAGTAAGTGGTTAATAGAACAACTAATCATTCTAAAGAGATTTGACTGCCTCTTATCAGATCTATTACATTGTAGGCCAGTGAAAAAAGAAATGAATTAGTTCCCAATTGATGCTGTAAACTCCACATCAATGAAACAATGTGTTGAATACTAGCATACTATCTGCAACTATTCAACACTTCACAAGCTAATCAAAACATAGGCATGTGTGCAAAAACAAAACATACCTACAATGCACCATCCCAGTTGATCTCAGTGACACTCTATTTTGACCTTTACTGCTAAGAGATAAGACTTGTACTCTAGTTTTCAATAAATGGATATTATAGTCTAACATTCTTCAGTGAGTGTACTAAAATCAAGTTAGTGTCTTGGTTTGATAGTGATTCTCATAACTGACTCTAGTAACTATGAAAAATATTAGGTGACTAGTCTTCAGGCTATGTTTTCTTTTATTCAATGGACAAGCCTGTGAATGATAGTGTGCACCGCTGGTACAGAGGCTATTGATAAAGTTGATTTGTGATGTTATAAAAAACTGTACTGTTAAAGAGTCATTCAAATCAAATCTTGTTACTTTCCAGAATTTTGATAAACTTCATACAACTTGTAAGAGCAATGGTAGCAATGGCCTCGACACGATAAGTAGGGTTGGCGCGTATGTTCCATAGTTACGATTTTCGATTGTTTCGTCGATCGTAAATGCGCCTGCTGCGCGCACCATGGTGATTCGAATTGTCTCTATGACATTCTTCTGTTAAATGTCGAATAGATTTGATCTAGGTAGGTAAAGGACATAATGCGACTCGACATCTAATAAAAGGCGAAACACCGAAGCTTAACTATGTATTTGTGGAATAGAGGGCGTGATTACAATTTTACGTAAATATTTAAGTAAGTTTTTATATAAGTCCTAACTATCGCTGTCGCAGTGCATTCTTTGCAAGTAAACATCATCTTATATTCCCAGAAATATTTCGAAGATATATGTAGGTATTCTGTGCTTTAACAAAAGTCTAAAACTGTTCGTAATTTTTAACAACCAGGAAAAGATTTAAGATAAGAATTGTACGTAGAATAGAGCTCACATTTTGCCTTCACTGAACGTGCGCGGTTTTGGCATTTTAAAACTGATCGGCACGACTAGACTGACAACTGACCTGACCTTTAGTCGCGTGATTGCTGTAATGCTGTATAATTACAGTATTTTGTTGAATTATTTTGCGGCTAGATAGAGATACCTAGCTAGCACAAGCACAAATTTTAAAATACTACTTCGATCTGAAAGATTATTCGCAATCTTCGGTTTGTGATTGTTTTAAAACTTTTTAACTTTGTTGAGACTGATGTCCGACATGCGTAACGCTGTTGTCGTAACATGTTTATCTTTGGAGTTATCAGCGAGTGGCACGATGAACGGTCACTGGACATGACGTCGTGCTTATTGCCCAAACATTTGTCGGGGTCGTTTTTTTGCCACAACACGATCAAAAGAACTCTGTGTTGCGCAATGACTGATCATTTCTGCCTTGCGGGGCGTTACCAGCATCGAAACAGTCTAGGGACGAATAATCGTAGAACTCTACTAATGTATTGTTTGAGAAATGTACCCAGTTTCTTGTTAATTAAGGATACAAAGGCGCCTTATCTTGTGCCTCTTTCCTCCGTATTCTGTCTGACTCGACATGTTAGTTTTTCATTACTCTCTCGTATTCTTAACAAATGATCAGCTAATTATTTTTTTCCTTTCATATCGTAATAAAAAATATAAGAACTTTCTGAGGTATGTTAGTACACTTAGTACTGTAGAAGTGCTTCCAAAAGTTGGACTGGTTGGAATGGAAAATATTAGATCGTTTGTGGACTTTGTAGGTGCCAACTTAATTCTACTTCAGTACAAAAACTTAGACAAGTTCATGATAATATCATTTCGACAATCAAAACAACTTCGAGTCGAAACGGCTTCCCACTCGTCGAGGAGTTCGAAGACAGTCACAATTTGGAAGAGGTCAGTTTTACGGTCGGCTGGGGCGTAATGAATCGACGCGAAAATGCGTTATGTGGGTCCGCATTACGTAAAAGAAGCTCGAACTTTCTGGGCGGGTGCACATGTATAGCTCAACTTTGTCGATAAACGGACCGGGCCGGCGTCATCCTGATGCTGTCGAATGTCCAATCTCGATATGAATAGCGTTTCTCACCGTCCTACCCGTGTAATCGTGACGTTTTAAGTGTAGTAGGTAGGTATTTTATTTGAGAAACCACTGCAAAATCTTCGGTTGACGGCACTTTCACTTCATATAAAGTTGGATTGGATAACTAAGTGAATTCGAAGAAAACCATGTCTGGGCACTGCAAAAACAAAAAACAAGGTACTTACCTATTTGTTTTAAATATCTAACATCAAACAATAATTAACTTAAGTAAAATACATTAATGTTTAGGATGATCGTCAAATCGTTTTTACAGAAAGGTTAAATTACACGTCACGTGTATAATTTCAATACACAAGGTCGCTTAACCACAAAGCAAGATCAGAATAGACCGGTTTTGTTTAATAATCCTACTAAATAAATATTACTCAATAGGTTTATAATTCTATAAATAATTTGAATTAATTAGGTATTTTGTAATCCTGCAATGGACTTAAGTAGTTATTTATGTGTTAAACAGAAGAGTTTCAGACGACAACGCCTTGAAAAAGCCTACAAAAACTATATCTTGCTTTATGTATTAACTATTATCTTATGTCGCTGTATTGGATCAAATTTCTTACTTACATACCTCTACGTTAATAAAGACTGTCTTACGATTTATCCCACCTAAAGATGCCATCTCTATCTCAACTAGGTCATGTGATCAGCACTGAGGTTAAACTAAAATAAGCCAGATTATTTAACATCGAGGATCTTAATCCCCCTGTATTTAAATTGCGCTTAGTAACAACGATCCATCAAACCAGTGAAGATAGATCAGGTTTATTAATGTACCTAGTTGGATGTGAACTAAGCCAAATACTTTCCAAGCGAGTTTACTTCTGCTGAAAGAACATGATTATGTTAAAATAATAATCTATTACTTCATCATATCGTCTTACCAGCCATAAGACATCCACTGCTGAACATAGGCCTCCCCCAAACCTATAACTCTTGCCGCGGAAGGCCTAACGGGTTGCCGGGGCTCCGGCTCGAAGAGCAGGAGTAGGAATTTAGTCAGTAAGAGTTTGATATTCCCTGTCGCTCTCGCCTACCCAAGGCAGGAGAAGTCATTGGATAAATTTCCCCAGCAAAAGGAAAAAAACAGAAAAATCCTTTAAAACCCTATTACCCTTAGTTTTAATATTTACCCACATGTTATTTTACATAACGGTAAATTTATGACTCTCTGTGCTAACTGAAAATTTGTAAAATCAAAAATAAATGTCAAAAATATTTTTCCATGTGTGAAAATGAAATCCGACATTCGGCATTCATTCCGATAACCACTCGAAACGACAAAAACATGATCATAGTTACCTATATAACAAAAAAGTTATATTTCACTTTTTCTTTCGTGAAGGTTACTTAATTTTTAACCGTTTAATGTTACTTCCACTTCTAATAACTGACTTTCAGATTTCTGAACGATACCAAGACGGATTCAGTAACGAGGTCAAAAGTATTCGGTTAAACAGATAATTATAATAAAAAATAATCGTATCATGATTTAGTCATACAATCCACATAATATTATCATATTCTAATTGTAAGAACTGAGTTGACAAAGCAAGGTTAACCATTCACTGCCTAAGTATTACTTTATTTATAAGCACGTTAATGTTTTCATATCCGCCTTTTAAATTTCTAGTACCTACCGAATGAAACTGGACTAACAGGAACGGTATTGATTTGTAACTCAGGTTAA